CCCACCTTCAGCATTTGGCTGTGCCGGTGTCAAGGTTTCCTTCCTTCCTTCCCCAGCAGCATCCACGGAAGGGGAGATGTATGGATGGGGCATCAGCAGTGATCCCAAGTACTTGCTCTGCAGTGGCAATGTTGCCATCACTCAAGAAGCTTTTGGCAAGCTGCTGAAGTGCCAGTGGGCTCTGGAAAGGTCATGGGGCTGCGGTGTGTTTGCATCCTGGGGCTGACTCCAGACATCCTTCCTGCTGGTGTCAGGGGGCCATTTCATGGAGTACCCCCCAACTTAATGCTGTGTGTGGGTCAGCGCGGCAGTTCTGAAGGGACCGGGGCCATTTTTAGTGGTGGCCAAAAGCAAGAGGCGATTTGCAGCCATCCTGCCTGCGGGCTAGGGAAAGTTGGGGCTGGACTTGGCAAAGAGAAAATGGATAAAAATAGCCCAGTAATGGTTGAATGGGTGAATTTGTTAATTAAAACCCCCAATTGCTAAGGGAGGCTCCTTGCGAGCTGTGCTATGGGGATGCTATGAGCTCCATCCCTCCCTGGCTTGAGGGGCACGTGGCTGAGTGGGGGTTGCCCTGGGGGGCGTTTCCCTCCGTGGCTCAATCTCTTGGCAGTGGGATCGCTTGTTGGCATTAAAGCCCTTTCTGCAGCTGCGCTTAAACTTTTTGGGCTCAAGGCTTCTCACTTGGGACATCTCAGACCTGGGGTCCCCCACCAGTTTGCAGGCAGGGGGAGGAAGGAAGCCACAGGTCACAACTCCCTGCCTGCACTCTGTCTAGCTGCACCCTGCAAAAACCACTGCCAGTCTCTGCCCGGACTTCGGTGACCTCTGGGCTCGTGACTGGGATAGGCCATGGGGATGGGTCATCACCCCTGATGGGGTGCAGCAAAATGGGTCTCCTGAGGATGCTTCTGCGCTCTGCTCGGCCTGAGGCTCCCTCTGCTGTCTGTCTGCCTGTCCGTCTGTCCATGTGTCTCTGCCTGCCCGGCTCTTGCTGGGGGGTCCAGCCTTGGGACTGTGGAGGCGGTGGGGGGAGTTGCTGAGCTGGGCTGGGGCAGGGTCCCCTCCCAAAATGCTGAGGGGAGAGCAGCCCCCCCTGGTGGAGCTCAGGACACAAGCTGGGGACACAGCGCACACTGCAAAGCCTGGTGTGTTCATGGCTGGGTTTGCCATCCCTGGCCACCGCAGCGGGCTGCTCCCCCAGCACAGGGACATGCGTGGCTGGGTCTCTTGAAACCTGCTCGCTTGGCCCCACTTCGCCCCCAAAGAATAACATCATTATTCTTTAACCACTGATGGGATGCTGCAGGTCTGAAACCTGCGTGACAGGCTTTTTTTGCCCTCCTTTTTCCCCTCCTTTTTTTCCCCTTGCTTTCCCCCCCTCGCTTTCCCCCTCTCGCTTTTTTCCTCCCTCTTTCCTTCTCTCTTCTCCCCCCCCCTTTTTCTCTCTCCTTTTTTCTATCTTTTTTTGGTGTGCTCTCTCCTTTCTCTCTTTTCTTGCCCTCTCTTGTCTCTTACCACCCCTTTTCTCTCATTTTATGTCTCTTTTCCACTCTTTTCCTCTCTTTTGTCTCTCCTTTCCCCTCTCTC